CTGATTGCAGCTTTTGGTTTCTGATAGTCACAGGAAGCTCCGGTCAAGATCCATACATGCCCAACGTTGCCTCGAGTGAAATATGATCAGGTATGCAGAAGATATGTAATCTGTATGTTTTGACAACTATGTCTTTTGCAGCTAACATTATAGAGAATTGCAATACAGGTATTTAAGGTAGCTGCGTATATATGCTCTTCCTTGCACGTATCAAACCATGACTGGGTGATGAGGTTGATTTCGGTATTGATGTTAGGCTACATCCTCGAACAATAACATCCACTTTCTCTTATCTATCAGCTGAATGATTCCTTGCACGAGATCTACCGACCTAAGGCTGAGGTGAAGATGGAGCTATTATTTTTCCCCGGACCACAAGGTAAGGATGGCTATAAGGCGACTTGGATGACTGAAGATAGCGAACACTGCTGGCTGGAAGATTGGCTTCCAGAAGCATTCCCGGAAGCACGTATATGGACTGTGTCCTACGATTTGGCCGAGATTGATCCAGAGCTCATTAGCGAGAACTTGATTACAACTCTTATTCTCAGCAGAAGTTATGGGTGGTGCCCAATGATATTAGTTGGACATTGTGTTGGAGGTCTTGTCATCAAAGAGTTCTGCAGTTTTGTTGAAAATAAGATTGGAAAGGGCGAAAACTCCAAACGCTTACAGGAGTTTTTGGGAAGTGTAAGGGGCATAGCATTTTATGGAACTCCACATTCTGGCTACACGCAATCAGAAACCTCAAGGCTGAGTGTTGGGGCCGGTGAGAAGAAAGGTAGTGCAAACCCCTCTGAACCTAGATTTTGGTCGGGCAGAGCTGTCGGAAGGCTGAACTCTGGCTATATGCGATGCGTTTCAAGCTTCGGTTGGAAAGAGTTGGCTCTAGGTGAAACTCATCCAACGCAACAGGTGACGTTAATCTGGCCAATCTTTTGCTTAACAATAGTTGTTAATTGTACCACCCGTGAAGTGTCTGTCGATGTCTGTCTTTCTGTCATTAGTATCCGTTATGTAACGAGCTGACGTTATACTATACTGCACTGACTTGAACTTTGTCGTTGATCAGGGCTCTCGCAAGAGCATTATTGTTGACGAGTTTTCTGCAAGTAATGGGATACAGCGCAACTCGTTCTTCCCTATTGCAGCCGATCACTTATCTTTATGTAAACCAAAGAGTCCTACTTCAAACTGCTTCCAGTATCTTGTGCATTTTATCCATACCACAATGAATGAGGTAAGATTCAAATACATACCACGAAATGAGAGGGGAAGAGGGCAGTTGAATCCTCGTCCAATTATCCTTTTACAAAACCCGGCCATCAAGTACAAGATCTAGTGGGTGGTCCTAGTATGTACATTAAATCAGGCATGAAGTGAAAGGATCAGGGTGTTGATTAAACAGAGCGTAATAATGATAATCTTGGGAACTAGAATAACCGCGAAGTTGTTCCATTATGCAGATTCCTGATGATGTGAGCAGGAAAGAAGATAGGTTTGACTTAACGAGGTGTCATCTTTGCTGGCATTGACAGGCACAGTACGCGAACATGAATGTTAGGCGAAAGAAGAGGAGAGGCATTGCTCTTCTGATTGGCATGGAGAAGAAAAGGGATGGTAGTGAGGCTGACCGGTACCGAGTGGAAAGCATGGCGGATTATCTCCATTTTGATTTTGTGCCGGTTATAGACATAAAAGCAAGTAAGATACAACATAAGCTTGAAGAAATACTGGCAGGGGTGAATGAAACAGATGAATGTATCGTTTGTTGTGTGGATGCTCACGGAGAGGTTTTAGATGGAATACACTTCATTTATGACAACGAGGGCGATGGTATCGAACTTCTTTCTAAGATATTGAAGCCCATCAGTGACTGCGACCTTCTAGCAGGGAAGCCGAAGGTGTTTGTGGTGAATTCTTGTCGTGAAATCCGTGGAGGGACTGAACCTACGAGCAGTAATAGTCAGGAACAGAATGATCTTGAAGGCAAAGAGGATTGTTTGCTCATGTATTCTTGCAAACTGAACACCCAGTCCTATAGAGCAGAAACAGGTTACGAAAAAGGTACATTTTTCATAATTGAGTTGACCTATCACATTAGTCTGTCATACCAAACGACGGATGTGCAGGATATCTTCAAGAAGGTCGAGAAGAAAGTTCAAGAACTTGCAGCAAGAATGAAAGTCGATCAGTGCCCTGTCATATACTCCTCTCTCAAAAAGAGGCTTTCCTGGCGCCTGAAGTAAAACTAAGCATCCTGTCCCGGCATACTTACAATCAACACACGCGTCTGAGACGAAACATGCGAGACAACAGGTTGAAGTGCTGATATGGTTCTATGACGCAGGAAGACATTCCTCGCTTACGTTTCTACACGCAGTGATGTGTTTCCCCTGACTTGTTTGGGTGCAATAGAGGAGCTCATGGCCCTTGCTTTTGCCAAGTTGTCTTCTTTCATAAGAGAGTCCCGTTTCGAGGTACTAAAGAATTCTAATTGCCGCATAGCCTTACGTCTAGTATGTAGGCAGGTGTTATTACCATGGTGGGTTTACTATTCTATTGATTAATCTGCCAATCGAGTCACAAAAGAGACCTTCTTAGAAGGCTTCTGTTCCGGCATCTAGAATTAGGTGGGTGCCTGCATGATCATATGTAACAACTAGAGCCACTTACATGTCGTATGCAACTAGTGCAGTTTAGTTCAATCTCGAATTGTTGTTAGAGACGCGTTCTACTGTTATAGGACAAAGTGGTTGAAATGCCATTCCTTAGAGTAGATTTTAGCATCAGTATTCTGTATTATAAAAATGTAAATAATGAAAATCTCATCGTGATCCATCTTGACATCGATCATGAACATAAATAAAAGAGAAATTTGCTTTATATAAGGAGGTTTTGAAAGCACGTGACCCGATTGCAAAAGCTCATCTTATTGTTTGTATGCAAACATTCTCTAACAAACGAAGGTGTATCTCAGATAGGTCATCCATTCGAGTGGTGATCTCTTATGTGTGGGTAACGAGTTATATTACTAAAATTATCAAATCAATGCAGAGAGTTTCACGGCATGTATGAAATCTCACTTGCATCGGGTAGAGAGGTAGTGTATCAACTTGCAAGCAAATTGGGTAACAATTTGGTAGGTAATAAGTATGTCATTCATGAAGAGTACATTCTGCAAAATACTTTAAATGTTCATGAGTGTTGAAAGGGAGTGATGAGTGAAGAGAATTTCTTATGTGCAACTATGAAAAAACAATTATTTGTTGTATATAATACATATTATATATAGTAAATATATATAATGAGCTGTCAAAAAGTAAATAAAGATATAGATGAGTTAAAACTAACTCGAAGTTCACAAATCATATGCATATCTTTGACAAACATGATACGAAAAATATAGTTGATGCTCTATGACAATACATTCTAATGCTATACAGAATGATTTATATTTTAGTGCCAAGATGATGAAAAGAATAAATGTAGGAAGTGTAAGAAATGAAAGAAGTTCAAATGAAGAAGAGTCAAATATAGGTATGTGACATAGATAAATAACAAAATTCTTGAAGCGCAAAGCGCCATCTTTTCCGAAGGATTAAAGTGTTGAAGTGCCAAACAGTTAAACTACTGAAGCGCCGAACTTGAAAAGCCAAATGTGGAAATGGAAAAGAGCCGAAGTAGAAAAAGCGACGAGTCATCAAAGTCAAAGTGCGTAAACAGAATTACAGAAATGCAAAGCCGAAGACAAAGTTTGTAACCTAAACAAAAAAGTGCCGAAATGCCAAAGGCGAAGTGCAAATTCCAAAATACAAGCTTGCTACAAACGCCAACATATGAAAGGATCAAATAAATGCTCACGGACGGTTGAAAATCCGCGAGATTTTGAATGTGGAAAGGATAAGGATCTCCTCGTCAATACCCACTATTCTGAGGGTAACGCGAGTGAGAGTATGTTACGAGAACCTGAGATTACACTTTGTCGAATGCTGAGACTGAATGGAAAATAAGCTTAACTTCTCAATACGGGTTCAATTAGTGACTAGTGGAATGGCTATATAGAGAGCTATTCCTCACTGTATTTGTATCAATTTGTAGATTTCAAAATGACTTTCTCGAATACCGCAACTGCAAAAACAAGAAAAATGTCATAACACAAGCGATATTTTGCCCAAAAGTGCAAATGTAGTGCTTGTAATTTTTACATTACACATATTTTTGTTACATAAGGTCATTCTAATGTATTTTCTTTTTCCAAATTATGTATAATGATTTGTTGCTGCATCATCTCTGTCATTCTTTTATAATTATATAGAATTCACAAAATTCACTTCATTTGAATGTAGGTTTTAAGTTAAATAAGAGGCTTTATAGCACAAATTTATTCATGTAATAAATTAAAATATAGTTAACTTACCCAATTACATTTTTTTTTCCAAAATTCCATTATGATGGCAGGGATTTGACGCAATGTTTGCTATAATGTTCTTCTTATATAAGTTTTTTTCCTTCCATATTGTCCTTAATGTATATACAGTGTTTGGATTTGACTCTTGCGTATTATTGTAGATTTACTCCGAAACTTTCAGTACGAAAAAGTATCTACTTTCTTGATTAATTTTAAGTTAGCTAATAATATTTTTTATTTGTATATAGAAATATCCATGATTCTAATTTATGACATATAATATATCACATTAAAAACGTATATGTTACGATAGATTAATCCTCACCAAAATAGATTTAAACTCACCCCATATGTATCTGGTTTGTTAGGTGGTTATGTCTTCGGCGAGGTTTACCCGACGATGTGCATGTGCCAGGAAGTGCATGTGACGAGCTTTCTTCGAATCGTGTACTGCCTCGTACGACATCTGGATTTGCTCGGCACCTTCCTATGTGGCGATCGATGCTCAGCCTCTCACTGAAACGGGGCAGCTGTACTGTCCGGAGCTACTTTGGCTGCCAAGTCGGACTCACCGGCCGAGAAAGTTGCGGGGTCTGTGATGGAAATGTGAGTGTGCTCGGGATGCTATGTCTATGGTCAGCAACTTGAGGTACTAATAGGTGTTGGAACTGGCTGTGTTGCTTCGTCGTCATCGATTGTTCTCGATATGCGGCGGCATTGATAGTGATTAGAGGGAGGAGGAGGTTTTTTTTATTACTGGAGCATTTTCAGCAGTAAAAGCTGGAATTTGAGCTAGAGGACAACGATCCGCCGAAGAGATTGCTGAAGATTCTTGGTACTTTTTTGGTGAATTCTCCCTACTACGCAGCAAAGAATCAAATACTCAGTATGACAGTGCGGGTCGTCAACGAACTGGGATCGTGAGAAGTTGCTAGAGTAGTAAACATGGGGAGAGTAGAGAAAGCTTTAACTGAGAAGCTGTCAGGTCTGTCAGTAGGGACAGATTTCATTCCTGACACAGATGTGGTAAAAGATTCTGGATCAAAACAAAGGATAGGCGTCATGCATCTTGAGGCAGACTTCGGTGGAGAGCAAGAATGTGGCATTGATTCCAGGGGAGCGATGTCGGGGGTAGAAAGTTCTTGCGAGGAAGTGGAGCAAGAGTTAACAGAAAATTCATATCAACCATCTTGCTCCAACTCGATGTTGCAGGAAAGGCAGGAAGAGGAAGCTGCTCTCTGTACTGAACATTCTGATGGCCCTCCCGACGGGTTTCTCTCCATCTTACCGTACGCAGATTTGAAATCTCTTCTCACGCTCGAGAGGGTAAGCAAGCAAATGCGCAGCGCAGTGAATGATGTTTTGGTGTGCAGGAAGTTAGAGGTTGAACGCCCTCTTAACAGGGCCCTTACAGATGACATTCTTATGACCCTTGTCAAGAGGGCAGGTGGATTACTGAAGAGTATGAGACTCGTCACATGTTTAAGGATCACTGATGAAGGATTAGCCAATGCGCTATCACTCTGTCCCCAGCTTGAGAAGGTTAGCAACATCTCCTGCCGAAACTTCATTTTCTTCTATCTGCAGTTTCTACCATCAACTTTGTTAATTACATGGTTTCCATAGCAGCTTACTCCTTCTCCAATTTCTTGCAGGTGGAGGTCCCCGGGTGTACAGGGCTCAATATTGATGCCCTCGTGCATATGGTGGAGCAGCAATGTGCAATGAGTCGTTCGAAAGGGATGTGCGGTATCAAACAGTTGCGAATCCGTGGAATTCGTGAAATCCATGAGCAGAGTCTGTTTGCTCTGAGAGATATGATTTTGAGCAGAAACGGACACCAGTTACCGATCACTTGGCCTATTTACCTGTCCTCAAGTACTATTGATGACGATCGAGCTATCGATGTTGAGATGTGTCCCAGATGCGACTTTGAATATGCGACGGTTGTGTTCGACTGTACGAGGAAAAGTTGTCAGAATGCAGCAAGGGTTGACCCCAGCAAAGCTTGCCGGGGTTGTTTCATGTGTTTGCCGAGATGTAGTGGGTGCGGTACTTGCTGTCTGGAAGCCGAGGAGTTTGAGAGGACCTGCTGCATATGGTATCTTTGTTTCAGCTGCTGGGCGCAGTCGCCCAAGTGCGCAGAATGTAACACCGCCATTTGCTGGAACCACAAGAGGGATTTCATGGAGGGGACCACTCATAGCGCCTTGTCGGGAGTATGTGAAAGGTGCGCAAATAGTTTGGAAACATCCTTCGATGACATCGGATCAAAAGATGCATCTTTTTATTCGGATTCGGATGATCGAGCTTACCTTTGATCCTTACGATCGTTGATCATGTGGAAATTTCATGAAAGCTTGCAACTTCATCGTTCCCTTTACAACTCTTTCAAGTTCCTGACTGAGAGTAGGAGTGATCACATGATCATTACTACTCGCAAAAGTTCCTCTTCTATAGATCTATTATAGCTATCGGATGTACCACAATCCTCTGTTCCTTTGATACCCCACAACGTCGTTCAAAAATAAGGTAGTATCCAAGAACGAGTGTTCAGGTGAGTATGATTTCTATAATTTATAATTATGGGATGTCTACAGTTATTGTATATTTAAGGGTGGAATATTATTATCTGCTGCATGATAGAGCAAATAAGTATTGCTCCTTAAGTTCAAAAAGTTCAAGAATGTGAGAGGATAATTAAATTCACATAACGCGTCAAAACCCAATAAGCTCTACAAATTCAAGGAAAATCGCAAGATGTTAGTAAGATATATGCCAGATGTTTAATTTATGGTTTTGAAGTACTTGGCATATAGGTTGATTCAACTTTGATTTCGGAGGAAATTGAATATGATGGGGCTAGAAAACTCTGCTTTATATTATGCTGAAATAAAACAATGCGAAGAAAGACGGAATCTTTTATTCAAAACTCACTAGATTTAATCACAAGTTGTAAATAACGAACAAGTGATTGAGAGCTTGTGAGTCTACAAGCCAAAGTAAAGTTTCATTGAAAGGATCTACCAGGCGAGATTGGTGGCTTTTTACTCAACTGGAAAAGTGTGAAAAGAATAAAATCTCATTTGTGGTTGCTACATATATTGCAATTTGCTTAATGTGTGTAAATGTGACTTTGTTTGAGCTTACTTTAGATTAGATGCATGTTTCAATAACTCTTTTCTATGGAGAGTTGGATGAGAATATCTTCATAATTGTAAGTTAGAATAATAGGTTATAGTCTTTGTAAAGAAAAACCAAGATTTGTTGCATTGCAAGTTAAAAAAAATACTTTTATTGATTTAGGGTTAAAACAAGCACACATAGAATTAACCAAGAAATTTAAAAACTTATGAGATTGCAGTTATGTAGTTGATATCTATGTATAGTTGAAAACATATGAATATCTTAATTTCGTTAATTTAATAATCTACATGGAGTATATATTGATTGCAGATAGAACAAAAGGAGAAAATGATTGACAAATATTTGTATTCGTATTACTGCAATTTTCACATAGCGAAGTTGCAATAACATGCAACGACTAAACTTTGATGTAGTTGGTTATAAAAAAGGTTTCAATGTATTGGATTTGAGTATATCGTTTATGCCCTTAGGGTTTATACAAGTTTCCATATATTGAATTTTGAGTAAGAAACAGCTAGCTGTGGATTCTACATGAGTATAACTTTCATTCAAATCTTTTGTTGAATGATTGCAAAGTAATTATCGCTAGATTTTTTTTACGATTATTATACATACTATATCAACAATATATGCGATGATTTTCTCAGTATTTATATCAGTTTTGTAGATTAAGAATTGATGTAATCTTGTATAATATGTCATGTTACAAAAGATACAAAAAAGATTTTATGAATAGTGCTAAGTAGATTTCATCTTTTTGTATGTTTGTTGGAGGAATAAGAATAGAATAGAATTGAATACAGTTATTGGTTGCATATCTAGATCTCTAGTTTTACTATGATTACCTCGTCTAGCATGCAGATGCAAGTTGGAGTATACTCGCGCTTGAATGTTATGTGAAATCTATTTATGTGATATATTATACTTGGACAATGAGAGTAAAGATAGTGTAATTGTAAACCCAAACATACATTAAGATGTATTGTTGTAATAGTATCTTAGATGTGTTTTCATGGGCATTTTTAAATGCAAGAAGAAAAATTGGGTTCAATCGAGAGTTCTACAATTTAGATGCGAAGATGACACCATTGGTTTAGTACCACTTTCATCTCATAGAGCGCTGCATGTAAACATGTTTTTAAGAAGTTGTTTCATTTCGAAATGAAACAAACATACAATTTATCCAAAATAAAATTCTAGATAATTGTTGGATAATCATGCATGAGTTGCAATACTTTGATACTAGATCTGTAAGACCGGATGTTGTATGTGTGAACTAGAACTAGAATTAGCCAATGAGTTAATCATGGTTATGATAGTCATGACTAAATCTAGCTAGTTATGACTAAGTCTAGCTAGTTTAGCTAGAATGTCTATACTTGACGGAATAACTAAAGAAGTTCTAAAAGATTTGAGCGAGCACTTCTATTTTGTCTTGTACAAAAGTCTAGATTCCAAGATAAAAGACTTTTGGACTTCATGTTTAGTTTTGATTGGTTTGACTAAAGTAAGAAGTACTCCACTGGTTAGACTAAGTCTAATGTTGACTTAGTGGAAAGTGGAAGTTCTAGAAGTTGGAAAGACACAAATGACATGTCGCCACCTCAATTTAGAGATTAGTAAACATCTAGAAGGTTTAGAAGGCCAATGACATGTTTTCACATATTGATAACTAGTCAACCTTACTATAGTTTATCTTTGTAAAAGTAAGTTAGATAGAAATTACCATTTGTTACTATTGTAAATTCTCAAGTAGTATATATAGAGAGGTAGGGAATAATCTTTGAAGCAAGTTTGGAGAGTTCATATGTAAAGACTTGTTTCATATATGAAAGAGTGACGAATTTTTAGTACCTTGGAGTGTCGATGAGTGTATGAGTTGGAGTGATACCTTGAGAGATTGTGTGAGAGGCTATTTGAGTTGTGAGTATAATGCGGAATCCTAGTCTTCTAGAATCATGATGAACTACCGAAAAGCCATCTGAGGTAAACCTGAGTGAGAGTCAGCCCGGAGGTTGCAGATCTAGGATAGGAGATGGTGTTGTAACATCATTAAATGCTAATACACCACAATCATGTACTTCGCCATTTTAAAACTTAGATCTGTTAAAATTTGAATTGTTGAGTGTAGTATATTATCAAAATTTGGTGCTCATTATGTAGCATTCTATCAAGTTAATAGAATTGTTTCATCTTGGTATTGCAACCTCCGAGCTGACTCTCACTCAGGTTTACCTCGGATGGCTTTTCGGTAGCTCATCATGGATCTAGAAGACTAGGATTCCGCATCATACTCTTAGCCCAAACACCCTCTCACACAATCTCTCAAGGTATCACTCCAACTCACACACCCATCGTCACCAAGATACTGAAAATTCGTCACTCTTTCATATATGAAACAAGTCTCTACATATGAACTCTTCAAACTTGCTTCAGAGGCTCTTCCCTACTTCTCTATATATACTACTTGAAAATTTACCATAGTAACAAATGTTAATTCTTATTTAATTTACTTTCACAAAGATAAACCATAGTAAGGTTGAGTAGTTATCAATATGTGGCAACATGCCATTGGACTTCTAAACCGTCTAAATGTTTACTAATCCCTAAATTGAGGTGGCGACATGTCCTTTGTGCCTTTCCAACTTCTAGAACTTCCACTTTCCACTAAGTCAACATTAGACTTAGTCTAACCAATGGAGTACTCCTTACTTTAGTCAAACCAATCAAAACTAAACATGAAGTCCAAAAGTCTTTTCTCTTGGAATTTAGACTTTTGTACAAGACAAAATAGAAGTGCTCACTCAAATCTTCTAGAACTTCTCTAGTTATTCCGCCAAGTATAGATTTTCTAGCTAAACTAGCTAGACTTAGTCATAACTAGCTAGATTTAGTCATGACTATCCTAACCATGATTAACTCCTTGGCTAATTCTAGTTCTAGTTCACACATACAACATCACGTCTTACAGTACAGTACTTACTTAGATTGCAGGCTAGAACAAGCCTAGAACAACCCCGACCCTATGACTCTGGGTTGACGACATAGAGTTACCGTCACGACGTTAATTCCTTTGTCACCGTCGTTGTCAAGAAATCATTCGTCGAGCGAGAACTTTTAGCTGTTCAAATTCGTCACATAGACAACCAAGGTGAGACACGTGTCAAAGCGATGAAAAGCGACGCCAACCCGGCTTGAGTGTAACAATCTTTAGTTAGTTAGAACTAAAGTAGATGTTACTCCAAATGTTAATATAGATACTTTAGAGTACACTAGTTGTAGATGCCACGTCAACGATCCGCACACTTGGTAGGTACAGAGTAGGTGTATTAGTTGACAGTATCATGTCATCGATCCTTGTGCTTGTTAGGTAAGGATTGAGTGTTAGTTAGTGTATTAGTTGGGAGCGTCACGTCAATGATCCGTGTGCTTGTTAGGGTTATCCGCCACGTCATTAATCCACTAAAAATGATATGTATGGTGGGGATAACATCTTATCTCATTGTAGTTGTTGGTGAGAGCTATATAAGAGAGAGTAGAACCATTGTTGCTATCTCTCATCTTTAGCGTTTACGTTTTTGTCTTTGAGCGAATTTTTTTCTAAACCCTAATGTTACAATCGTAGTAACGCGACCTTGCTCTTTCCTTGAGTGTGGATTATCCATCATGAAATAGCAAGTGAGTGATGATGGAGTGCAATTTTGAGAGTGTATAGAGGCTGGTAGAGGTCATTGATTTGAATGTAGAGAGAATTGAAAGGGGAAAAATTGTGGTTTTTGCAGATATGGACGGATTTGACAAGAATCGAGTACCGCATTGGCCAATTCATAACCTATACGATATTCATCTTCGTTGCATGGAGATACATCATTTTTGGATGTACCTTGTGAATTGTTGGGTGCAGATTTTATGACTACAGTGATGGAGTCGAGAGTGCCACTAATTCTTCCAATAGTTACTTATGGAGAGACTTGAGATTATACCATATATATTCTAAACTAAATGTTTCATGGATTTGAATCACAAATTACCCGTCCCGATTTGGTTCAACATGTATGTAGAGATTAGAATAGTATATCGACAGAAGATATTGTGGAGATTTTTTCTTGTGAAAAATTATGGGAAAGATTACTATAGAGGTGTGATGGAATCACCTATACCTTTTGTGGTTCCTTTTTTGAGAGGTCAGATAGTGATTATACTCAATTTGTATCATAGTGAGTGTGAGATTGCATGGAGAGATCAATTGATATGAGTGAGATTCTCAACGCAATCATGGCGGAGATGAAGGAGTTGAGAAAAGCGATAGTAGATGGACATACTAAGCATCAAGCTATGGAAGATAATATCTTCGCATTAGAGAGTGAGAAAGTAGAGAGAGAAAGAGTTGGAGAGATGGAAGTTAAACCTCAAGTTCAAGCTTCCCAAGTTCACCAAGAACCAACTCCTATTGATGCAGCAGAGGCAAATAGGAGATGTTTTCAAGAGATTGAAGATCAAGCAAATCTTTCGCTTTGAATGGTGAAATCCTGTAAGGAGTAAGCTTACAAAGGGATTAGAGCAATGGGAATGTTAGGGAATGGATAATGAGGAAGAATATTCATTTATCTCATTTTCATGTTTCTGATTACATTGCAGGAATGTTCATGAGATCTTATTTTACGGATAAGGCTCTCACATGGTACACAACATGGGATAGAATACTTTCAGAACGAAGTGCTATCATTTCGTGGAGTAGAATGCAGGAAGAACTTTTGCAAAATTTTTAAGCGGTGGACTCTCTTCAAACTGCAAGAATGAAGTTGTGAGATCTGAAGCATAAATGATGTATTCATGGGTACATTGAAGAATTTTGTGATCTTCAAGTATCTGTCATGGATATGAGTGGAGCAGAAGCTTTGGACGTGTTCAAACGAGGCTTGAAGGATCGAGGAGGAGGTGATGATAAGCAATCCATCTACTGTGAATAAAACAATCGCAATTGTTCAACAAATTTTGGTTGCTTTTGGTGTCACACACGGTGA